GCTGCTGTCGTCGTCGTTGCCGTCGTCGTCGTCGTCGTCGTCGTCGTCGTCGTCGTCGTCGTCGTCGTCGTCGTCGTCGTCTACGGAGATGGGGGGAGGGAGAAGTCAGAAGGCTCGCTGTAGGCTTAACGGGCCGCCAGAACTTCAGTACCCTTCCGAGCCAGGGAGGAGGGAGGAGGGGGGAAGGGAGGGGAAGGAGGGAGTGAGGGAGGAGGAGGGAGGGGGGGGGGAGGAGGGAGGCAGGGAGGAGGGAGGAGGAGGGAGGAGGGCTCGCTCGCTCAACGTCGGTATCGGTCACTGCCGCACTCGTCCACCGGCCAACGACACATATATGTGACAATAGGCGCTAAAAACAAACCTTCCTCCCACCCGCTTAGCTCTGCATGCTGTACCACGCGTTGAGCTGGGCACGAGTATGTGCCTGGTCCTGCTCGATCTGCGCGGTGCTGCGCGGATCAGCAAAGCAGGAAGGGGGTGGGGGAGACACAACACGTGCACGTCGCTCGGCCAGGCGACGCTCCTCTCGCCTGGCCCGAGCCAGGGCTCTGTTGGCGGCGATGCGGTCCAGTTGTTGGGAGGAAAGAGGGAGGGGAGCAGGCGGGGGAGGCGGAGGCAAGGCGGGGGAGGGGGGAGACAACAACCAGTCCGCCGCCTGCTCCTCCTGTGATCCGAGGAGCTGATCAGCCACCTCTTGCTCCGCCTCGGCATCCTCGGGAAACTCCGAGGGGGGCAGCACAGGGTCAGAAGTGGGCCGAACGTCTTCAGAAGTCTCCTCGGCTTCATCTGAATCAAAGTCGTGAAAACGGAAACTCTCGTGCTGGGCCCTAGGCCGTGATCTCCTGTTGATTCCTGCAAAATCAGGGGCTGGCTCGAAACTTTGCTGAGCCTCACGGTCCCAGGAAACGAAACAATCGCATAGGGACTCTCGAACTTCTTGCAGATCGGGCGGGTACTCCGCCACGTCGTATACTTCATCGTCGGAGGAGGTGGGAGGCTCCGAGGACGGGGAGAGAAGTGCGCTGATGCTATCCACGATAGCCGTGGCTAGGGCAAGGCACAAACTGGACGGGTAGGTCTTCTTAGAAGCCGTATGGAACTGGCCAGCAGAATTCTTGCCTAAAAGCATGCGATGGGCCTGGCGCCCGTGAGAGCACCTACCAGAACCAGGAGTGGCCTTGAGGAGATCTGGCAGGGTCCCCATGCGAATAGACAAAATGGTCGTGGGCGCTCGGCCCACAGTGCTGGGATCAACCTGTGGATCCTGGTGTTCACATTGATCGAAAGACGTAACTCGCGCACAGGGCGCGGCAGCTATGGCCTCCATGGGCCGCCATCTGAAACTGGAAGGGGCCCTAGGGGCCCATGTGGCAGGGGAAGGGTGTTCTAGCCACCCCCCCGTGCCAGCCCTCAGATGTTCTGCAAGAAGCCGGACCAGAGAATGCAAAAGTTGAGACCCCACTCGAAGTTGCTCCGATTGTGTGTGTTGTATAAGATACAATGAATTTTTCGGGCCTCCACCTCTCACCCCTTCCCCCCCCCCGACCTTTACCTTGGACATCGGGGGGGGGCGGGGAGCAGCAGATGCGCCGTCTGTATAACGAGTTATGCATGTGTTCTCCGTCTCAAGTTCTTTGGGGCTCAAGCGTTCATGCAGATTTCGCTTGAGCTCGAGTCAGTCTGCTCGACTTCTCCCTCTCGCGCGGGCAGTGCGATATCTTCTGCTGGCTCGTCCTGGGAGCTGGTGGGCTCTGAGTGTGGGCATCGCCCGATCTTCTTTGCAGGGCAGGCGCTGAGCCTGCCAGAAGGCGGGGGTCGAATCCTCGCGACGGCGCGCTGTGGCGGGCCGCTCCTGGTGTTCCTCTGGACGCTCGTGACCGTGGTCCGTGATCCTCCGAGCCTCGAGGAGGAGACGCTGGAGGGTGAGGACTTCACGCCCGAGCGGGTTATGCCAGTGGAGGTATGGAGCAGGCGCTACTATCGCCGGAGCGCGACAGATGGTCTGGAGATTTTCCTAGTTCGACGGAAGACTGGGAATTGCTGGGCGGCCCTGCTGCCCGATCTCTCCATGGGCACCATCACGATCACTGCGAAGACTACGGTCTTCTCCGACCCCGTGCCAGGCATCCGCTGGCAGGCGCTTCCCGCACTCACGCAGGTGCAGAAGAACAGTTTCATGCAGCAGGCTACGGACGGTCTGCGGGCAGGTACTATCCCAGCGCTGGAGCTGTACCGACCGGGTCGTCAGGCCCAGCAGGCTGTCGCCGTCAACGTGGTCTATGCTATGGCCAGCTCTGCTCGCTCTTCGCTGCGTACTCTGCGGTGGGCGTTGCGCTCTCCGTACCGTGTGCTGGGGCTGCTGGCGCTGGGTTTCGTGCTGTTCGAGGCTCTGAAGTACCTGGGGGTGGTGGATATGATCGTGGAGACGTGGTCCGCGTTTGTGAGCTGGATGGTGGCCTGCAGGGACACTGTCATCGAGTCGTCCGAGACAATCCAGGAGTGGGTGTCCTACGGGGGCGAGTGGGTGGAGTGGGCTCGGAAGCTCATGCCGTTGCGGCGCTGGGCGGCCTTGCTGCTGGCGCTCGTCCTGCTCATGATCTGGGGAGCTCACGAGATGCAGGAGGCGGAGGAGACTGGTCACTCGTCGGTGGCCTCGTCCTCTGCATCATCTGTGGTCGGCGACGTCGGGGGTGCCTCGGTCGTGGGGCCTCCTTTGCCGCCACCTTCAGGGGCTCCTCCGCCCGTCGCTGCTGCTCCCGACCCCGCCCTCGTGGCCCAGTTGGACGACTTAGCCGAGTCTCAGAGGGCGATGGCCGCGGAGCTGAACGAGATCAGGATTGCCGAGCGGGCTCGGGAGCTGAGGCGCTCGGCGATGGTGTCCTCGAGTGCGGACCGTGGTGCCGAGGTGGCGGCTGCCAACCAGCTGCAGATCCGGTCCATGCTGAGCCGGCTCGACGAGTTCGAGGCTCGCTTGCAGGGAGGTGCCGTGGCGGCAGCGCCTGCGGGGGCAGCGGGAGCCTCCCCTGCCACGCCCGTGGGCACGGCGGAGGGTCCCGCCTCGCCGGCGCGCGGGGACGCAGCGGTGCCGATGGAGACTCCCGACAAGCGTGCAGCCTCGGAGCCTGCGGAGGCGGTGTCTTTGGCCATCAAGCGGATGAGGTTCAAGGCTCAGATGCCACAGCAGGTCTTCCTGGAGCAGCTGGAGGACTTCAAGGAGTACCCAGCCTCCGAGTGGGCGACGAGGATGCCGGAGGGCTACAGGGAGAGAATCGCGCCGGACGTTCTCTCGGAGGTCTACTCGACTGGGAAGACGGCGGAGGCGTGGGCGAGGGACTACATCAGGGATCGTGGCCTCGCCGACTGCAACACCGCGAGGGAGATGATCGCGACCTTCGCGGCCGTGGACACCATGCTCATGACGGACCGCCAGAAGGGGCTCTTGAACCAGGTGAGTTTCGAGAGGCTGGTGCGCAAGGGTTACGCTCTGGTGAGGGCCTACCGCAACGTGCACTGCCGCGACGACTGGAGCAGGCCCAAGGACGCCAAGAGCTGGAAGTCCAAGGTCGACTGGGAGGCGGCGCGGCGCTTGGATCCGCAGCTGGCCGACGAGAGCACGATCAGGGTCATGAGTGCAGAGGAGGAGGTGAAGAAGGCAATGGGTCGAGATGCGCAGCTGATCAAGGCGCGCACGGACCTGGACGGCGGGGGTGCGAGCCCGCCGTGAGCCCCAGAGAACGTTCCACGGGGCTGACTGGCGAAGGTCCGCCAGGAGCCCCTGCACGCGATCGGCCTCGTCACCGTGGCTGGTCAAGTTTTCTCGTCTACCTCTGGGTTTCGAGTCTGTGGGACTTCGGCAAGAGCGTCGGGTTCCAGCAGGTGATCTACTGCACGACGAATTGGGCTATTCATGTCGAGGAGGCGGGACGTCCTGTCGGAGGTGGTGCTCATCCCACGACCGGAGAGGCCGACGTCGAGCTCACGGCGGGTGCTCTCACGCTGGCGGGAGGAGCTGGACGTCGCGCAGCGGGCCAATCGGTGCTTGCTGGGACTCCGCCAGCTCTATCGTGGGACGTTGGGCGACGAGCTCCTGCATCCTGGGGAGATCTGGGGTCAGGGGCCACTGCCCAGCACCATGGACGGGGACCTCTCGAGGCGTGTGCTGGAGGAGGTACGTCGCCTACCACCGCCTCCCTCGACGCCCGAGCAAGGAGCCGCGATCCTGCGGCTGCGCCCCGCCGCTACGGCGGCGGAGAATCAATCCCGGTCGACCTATACCCAACGGTTGGCCGAGCTGCGGAGGAGGTGTGCTGGTGGACAGGTACGACTGCCAGACCGGGGCGAGACGTTTCCCGCCCATTGGGAGCGGGTCGCTCTTCCCCCTCCAGGCTCAATGCCGGTGAGTGCGAGGTCTGTGTCGCCGAGAGTGGCTCAGATGCTAGACGATTTTCGGAGGGAGATGCTGAAGGAGGACGGCGAGGAGTGCTTCAGGGCCGCGGAGGTGAAGAATTACGTGGACCCGCACTTCCGCCGCAAGAAGGACATGCTGATGCTGGCCAAGCGCATGGCGCTGGCTGGGATGCTGTGCCGCTGCGAATCGAAGGTGGACGAGGTCGGGCTCTTCTGTGTGGTGAAGAAGGCCGAGGTCGTGGACGGCGAGCCTTTGGTGTCATTGCGTTTGGTTTTCGATCAGCGGCGGTCCAACCTACGCTGGCGGGCGCCGCCGTGGTGTGCCATGGGCGGGGTCAGTGCCATGTCGTTCTTGGACGTGTCCGAGGAGATGACGGAGGAGGGCGCTCGAATGGTGTTTGGTACTGGCGACCTCCCCGACTTCTACTACACGCTGGACTTGGGCGAGGCGATCGCGCCCTACTTCGTGCTGCCTGGAGTCCGAGCTTCGGAGCTTCTCGACGTTCTCCCCTCGGACGCCTGCCTGAGCGGGTCAGGCGAGCACGTTGGTGTGCGTGTGGCGCTGATGGGTTTCTCTTGGGCCTGCTGGATGGCCC